TGTAACTTTTACACTTTTTGATAACAACAATGTTGAAATTTGTGCCGTCACAGCTGGAAAGGGTTATCTCCAACAATCCAATAAGATCAGTTTGTTTAAACAGAACTGAAGTCTGAGTCTTTAATCAGGTCATTAAAGCAGCTCACAAATGAAGCAAAAAGAAACTAGCTGCAGCAGTTTGCCGTATCTGTTTAACTCTTTCCCCCATGAAGACGACATTTGACGACCCCCCTGTTTCCTTAATGACGACTTTTGACACCTCCGCTGTGTCACTAAAGACGTGATTTGACGACCTCTAGAAACGGCTCGGTTTTTCACATTTAAACAGAGACTGTGATTTGTCGGGGCCACTACAACCCACACTAGACTGACCAATAAGATTCAAGGATATGTTTTCGCCGATTTTTTCTGAAGTTAATCGAAGTAGTGACGATGGTAGCTTCTGGAAAAAACACAACACGAAACACGAGCAATGGAAAGATCGCGGTGCGGCGCACAGTTTTAGAAATAATGAGGAGCAGACGTATTTTATGGATAAGTTTAGAGAAAGTGACTTTTATAGATTTCAAAGTGATGATGAAGTTGATTATAAAGTGGAAAACAGCGACAGTGACGGACTTACAGAGAGTGAATCTTACGAAGATGAGAATGCCGCTGATGCGTCTGTGTGGAGTCCTGCAATGTCCCAACAAACTATCCGGGCTTTATACTCGATTATGAACCAAAATTGCCCTGAACTCACTCGTGGAAGTCTGTTTTCTTTTATGCAGTTATGCTCTGTGGGCAGCCCTAGTAACATATGTATGGGTTGGTCCTAGTAGGCGTCCAGGGGGGAAAGAGTTAACAAGGGAAAAACATGTATTTTTGTCAACTCCGTCAGTTTATGTGCTCTTAATGGCTCTTCAGACCAGAGCATCAAGATGCCCAGTTTACATGCAAAGTCTATGTGGATGTGTGTCTAGGGCGTTTTTGTGGCACATCTTCAGGTGTCAGCACGGCACATCTTGAGCATTCAGGATAGAGCATCTAGACGCAAGTCAGAAGTTGCTCAACTTTTGGCGCCACGCGCCCCGTCAACCAATTATAGTTGACTATCCAGTGACATTTGTTATTTTGCAAAAAAAGGAGAAGAAAGAGAAAAACTCAGGAACTGGGAACCAACAGCAGAACAAGAAACTCGCTGTGTCATTAGCGGATTAACTGGACTAAACCAGGACTGGACCAGGACTAAACCAGCGTCATTAGTAGAGTATAAATACATACACGCTGCAGCCGTCGAGCCAGTCCCCTTTGCTGATGGTTTTATATAATAAATACACTAAAGTCTCTCTCAGCCTGGTCCATCGTTCTGGGAAAAGACCAGGAAATGGCACTTGTTTCCAGGGCAACGCACGCCCTGGAGTATTGTTATATTATACTGTTATAAGTACTGTTCGTCCATGGCGTCCAAGACGTCAGGGCGTCTAAACTCAAATGAAAAAGTGTCCAAATAGAGGCACTTTTTTGATGCCCCGGTCTGAACGCAGCATTATACTTGTTCTGATGCAGCTCTAGATTCTCAGGTGTCTCAGAAAAGGTTTATTTCTGTCCTGTGAATGTGACTTTTTTCAGTATCGACCTGCTCAAATGAACATCTAGTTTCAATATTAGTTTTTGTATGGATTAGTGTTTGATTTGTGATTATTGATAAAATATGATGAGGTCTTCTGATGGGCTCAAACTCGTCCTCCTCACCTCGGCCTGTCGCTCTCTGTTCCAGGTGAAGGTGTGGTTCCAGAATCGCAGGACGAAGCACAAGCGTCAGAAGCTGGAGGAGGAGTGTCCCGAGCAGCAGAAGAGGAAGGGCAGTCAGCACGTGAGCCGATGGAGAGCGGCCACGCAGCAGGGCAGCGAAGAGGTGGACGTCATCAGCGAAGATTGAACATCTACTGGGCAGCGAGGAGGTGGACGTCATCAGCGAGGACTGGACCACTACAGCGGGACACTGATGAACTGGACGTCACGAGTGAGGACTGGAGGACCCGAGCACTGCACCGAAAGCACTGCACCGGGCCTGACAACTGTGGGGTCAAAGGGCAAGACGCGGAGTCAAAGTGCAAAGGTGTTCGGTCAAAATATACAACCACAGGGTCACAATGGACAACAATCGACGAGTAAAAATGCAAAATGTTGTGTCAAAATGCAAGACTTAAGGGTCACAGTGGACAACAATGGGGTCAAAATGCAAAATTGTCAAGTAAAAATTCTAAATTTCATCAAATCAAATCCCTTAAATGAAATTTAAGGGTGACAATGAACCGCAATGGGTCAAAATGCAAAATCATCGCGTAAAAAATGCAAAATGTATGGTCAAAATGTAAGACTACTGGGTCACAATAGAAAACAGTGGGGTCAAAATGCCAAATAGTCGAGTAAAAATGCATGATGTAGGGTCAAAATGTAAGACTACAGGATAAAAATGGACAAAAATTGGGTCAAAATGCAAAATAGTTGAGTCAAAATGCAAACTATGGCAAAATGCAAACTGGGGGTCAAAATGCAAAAATGCAAAAAAATGCAAAATGGATCAAAATCACAATGGACAAACAACGATGGGGTCAAAATGCAAAATCAATGAGTCAAAATGCAAGATGTTGGGTCAAAATGCAAAACTACAGGGTCATAATGGAAAACGAAGGGGTCAAAATGCAAAATCGTTGAGTCAAAAATGCAAGATCTGGGGTCAAAATGCAGGACTACAGTGTCATAATAGAAAACAATGGGTCAAAACGCTAAATGTAGGGTCAAAATGCAAGGCTTAAGGGTCCCAATAAACAACAATGGGGTAAAAATGCAAAACTGTCAAGGTGTGGCCTATATATGCACAATTTAAAAATTTAGTTTAAATTTAGTTAATGCGGCGTATATTCAAATGGGCTCAGTAGGCGAGTTTTATTGTTGACGCGCGTTGCATGCTGGGAATTATTTTGGTCGGCGGCAAGAAACACTAATTCAACATGACGGACGGAGCGAGAAAGCACGTAAAGGGTATTGATCCCGGTTATTTATCCACTCTAACGGCAGAGGACCCAAGACCATTTGACCAGAAATTGGTCATAAGCATCGATAGACGCCAAATCACCCTTTTCAACCCCGACAAAAGGTGAAACCAAACCTAATTTCTGGTCAGAATCGCCAACTACCTGGACAAATATTCACTTGGGCGATATCCACAATGACTTGGTGGAAACTCCTGGGCCATTCACAGCAGAAAAGATGAAAACCTCCAAGAGTCTCGATGTGTTGTTGAACTTGTTGGAGTCCACGGTTTGTTAGGATCTTCTACGTTTGCTCTGCGGATGTTTGAAAGTCGTTTAATTCACCGTTAGTGGTTCTTTTCACTCAGAATACGAAAAAGACATTTTCCTTCTTCTGTGCTTCTATTTGTGCATCTGATAATGCAGCAGGAATTTACCATTATCGAAGATAAACACGCGAGGTTACGCACTGTGTTTGACGCTATCGTGTTTCTTGCCTCCGACCAAAATATTTCCCAGCAGCAACGCGGGCTTTTAATAACAATGACATCAGCTGAAACTCACCTATAGTCCGGATTTTACAGTAATGATTAAGGATTACTCAAATGTGTGAATTAAACAAAACACAACTCCAGGTTTGTTTTTGAGGAGGTAACAACATTAAAACATTGTTAAAACCTCATAAGATTCAATAAAAAAAAAAAAAAATGACCCTGGTTTAAAACATTGCAAAAGGACTTTCTCGCCGACTCTTGGGGAACTATTCTTCTACACAACGATCTCGTCAAAAGGACTCGGTTGCGTGTGGCCCGTTCTGATTTGTTTTTAAATAAATGTGTGCTGTAAAAAGTATTCTATGCATTGCCGTGTACATATTAATAATAATATGATAATTATAATCCTATCTTGTGCATCGCTCGTCTCTTGGTTTGGATGTTTCTTCCTGACACACTTACCTCACTGTATTTCCTTATGTAGCACTTGTTTATTAGAGATATTTTTTCATTTTTTCATTGCACTAACTGTACCATTGATTTAAAGCTTCATTGGTTTCTGTGTTTTGGAAAAAAAATAATATTAAAACGATGTTGAATAAAAAGGATTTGTAAAATATTTTGGCTTTTTGGTAGTTTTTCTTTAGACTTACTTGGACACAGTAGATCACGCACCACAATATGTAAACTTTAAACAACGAGGAGCCGTGCGTTGTGCAGTTTTAACGCACGCCCAAGTTGTTTAATGTGCTTAGACCACTAGTCAAGCTGGCTCCACCTACTACAGGGGTGTCAAACTCAAACTCACAGAGGCCAAAATAAAAACTGGGACTAAGGCTGCGTTCAGACTGCAGCCTGAAGTGACCCAAATCCGACTTTTTGGCCTCTATGTTCCTGTATCTGATCTTTTAACGACAGTCTGAACGACACAGATCCGATTTTTTCAAATGTGACCCAGGACACTTTGGCTACGTTCAGACTGCAGGGCTTAACGCTCAATTCTGATTTTTTTTGTGAAATCCGATGTTTTTACGAGGTCGGTCACATTTCCAATTAAATGTGACTTGTATGTGATCCCCTGTGTGAACATTAAATGGCCCAAAAGTGTCCCGCATGTGACACTGGAGACACGACGACGTCAACCGCAGCGAGCGTCTCTGTGTTTACAGAAGTTGTCCAAACATGGACGCAGCATCGAGCACCTGGAGATTTTAAAGTTCCTCTCGTACCGGAGCCAGAACATGAACAACTTACTTGTTTTAAGGAGGAGATTGAGAAGGAGAAGGACGAGGTTTTTGGTCGTGGTGTTTTGTGGGGCAGCGGCAGCGACGTCCGTTGAAAGGAACATGTGGATGTGGAGACGGAGCCAAGAGTGGATGAGTGGTGATGTGCTTCACTTCAGTGACACGGAGTTTCATTAAACAATTTTCACCTACTTCAGCGCAGAATAGTGACGTTTGTGGCTTGTTGATAACGTGTAGGTGGATGAATGCACTTTGACCGTTCAGACTGAAGTCACATGTCAAAAGATCAGATATGTATCAGTTTCAGGAGCACATATCCAGGTGTCCTGGGTCACATTTGAAAAAATCTGATCTGTGTCGTTCAGACTGTCATTAAAAGATCAGATACAGGAACATAGAGGCCAAAAAATCGGATTTGGGTCACTTCAGCCTGCAGTCTGAACGCAGCCTTTGATATGTGCTTCTAAAACCGATACATATCTGATCTTTTGACATGCGACTTCAGTCTGAACGGCCAAAGCGCATTCATTCGACCTACACATGTAAGTTGTTCATGTTCTGGCTCCGGTACGAGAGGAACTTTAAAATCTCCAGGTGCTCGATGCTGCGTCCATGTTTGGACAACTTCTGTAAACACAGAGACGCTCGCTGCGGTTGACGTCGTGTCTCCAGTGTCACATGCGGGACACTTTTGGGCCGTTTAATGTTCACACTGGAGTCACATACAAGTCACATTTAATTTGAAATGTGAACGACCTCGCAAAAACATCGAATTTCACAAAAAAATCTGAATTGAGCGTTAAGCCCTGCAGTCTGAACGTAGCCTAAGTCGTGGGCTAAAGTAAATATTTATTTAAAAATGTCATCATCCGCATGTTTTCTCTTCTCTCGAGATATGTAAAATAAATAATAACAACATTTTAAATAAATAATGTCTCTATAGTCAATCTTTTTTTCCACAAGCCAACGAGACAAAAATAACAACTTGCTTCAATGAAAATTCAATCTTTCCACTCTGAACTGTCAAAAATCATAAAGAAAACATTTGTCCAAGCTCAGTTTGCTAGATTATGATTTACTCTGATGCACATGGGTCCAAAGCAGAAACAAATACTTTGCATCTCTTCTTAGATACAAGTTCATCAAAGTAGTAGTATTAGTACTAGTAGTATTAGTCATACTGGGTCAGCAGCGGTGGGCAGCTCTAATATATATTTGATATGAGCTCGTGGGCCAAAGTTTGACATGTCTGACCTTGTGCCTCCTCTCAATTTCATTTCTCATCAGCGACTAGGTCAGGAATTCAAATAACGCCCTCAGTCTGGTCCCGGTCTGGTCCCGGACCTGAATCTGTCCTGGTTCAGTCCGTATGCAGTGCAAAAGTCCAACATCGCAGTCACGGAAATAAACGGGAAACGGACGTTATCCGTTTTTTCCATTTTTTATTTAAACACAAAATCAAAAACTGAAAAAACGAATCATTATCTGTTTTTTCAATTTGGTTTTGGGGACAAATAATGAAGAAAATAGCTGTTTTTTTTTTTGTTTCTTATTTTTGGTTTTATTTTGAAAAACGAATGAACGAATGATACACGGATTTCGCTCTATCCCAAGTTTGTATTTTGCGTCTCTGCGTTCGTTAGAGGAACACAAACAATATCCTACGTCATTAGGCCTGTGAAAATGGTGTAATTTTAATTGTTTCAGGTTTGGTCGCAAATATTTTTATACTTCTTGGGCTCGGGTTGGATTCTGTCGGACACGGACCGGGCTCGGACAGAAAAATTAATCCCGATCCACACTCAAACCAAACAAGACCAATCCACCAATCAACTCACGCAGATAGTTTTCATTTTAGTCTCATCACCGTGTCCATGAGCTGTTATAGACACAGTTTTAAGGGTGACAACTGCGATTCGTAAACATCTTGGCTCGCACTGACACTTTTAAATACATTTCTGTTTTTGTTGCTGAAATCCACCGTTGTCGAAATGTAACGAGCCGCTTCGACCGTCCATGTGTTTTGAGCCTCTAAAATTGTCACTTCTCAGTCTCTTCCGTCTGATGCTCTTCCTCTGGGTCGCGCACCTCCACGCTTTCCTCCATCTGTCCTCCATCAGCGGTCGCCGACGGTAACACCACACCGGCGTCTCCCTGGCAACCGCATCAGCACCGCGGCAGACACAGACGTCGGGCAGACAGGCGTCGACAGGCAGGAGCAGAGCTTTCACAGTGTTTGCTCATTTAAGGTTTTAAAGAAGCGGCTGTTTTTTTTTTTTTTACCTGAGAGACAAAGATATTAGACATGTTTTCGCTTTTCTCGAACGGTGTAAAAGTCATGCAGCGTGTGGATTTACGAATTTACTACAAGCACAACTTAAAGGCCATTTTTTCCACGTGTTTGAGAAAAAACGTGCCTTGCGACAGGACAGATATATTGTATAAACATCAGTGTTGGGAGTAACGTGTTATAAAAGTAACAAATTACTGTAATGTGTTGCTTTTTGCTGTAATGCTGTAATGTTCGGGTTTACAGGGAAATTTTTTTTTATATTTTACTCGGTACAAATGTGAGTAACGCGCTTCACGATGCTTTTTTAACCTGGATTGAAGTGGTGGGTTTTTCGTTTTTCTTCATACAAATTCGCTAAAATCACAGCGATATCAGCAGCGGAGAAACAACATTGTTATGGTTCCGAATGTCGGGATTGAATTTGAAGGCTTGAAAACATTTGTGCTGAATAT